GCGTGGCACGTTGTCAGGGCCGGGCAGGATATGGTAACACTTGTCTTGCAGTACCACTATCTACTCTTGCCTATGTCCCTATGAGGGCGTTTGCTGAGTCATCCATTGCTAAAGGCGTATGAGAAGCGGCGGTACATTGACTTATGTTGACTCAATATAGACACCCACTCAACCCCTCATTCAACCCCGTTGAAACCTGTTGACTGCCATTGACTTCTGTCCATCAGAGCATTCGCTGAGTCATGCAGGGCCATGGCGTTCCAGAAGCATGGTCCATTGACTCCTGCTGACTCAATGCTGACCCACGTTGATCCCGTTTGGCTGCCATTGAACCCCATTGACCCCGTTGACCGCGTTGACTGCAGTCCATAAGGGCGTTCGCTGAGTCATCCATGGCCATGGCGTATCAGAAGAGGTGGCCGCTGTATCTCAGCACCAAGAACACCATCCTCAAGACTTATGACGGCAGGTGGGTGGGTGGGTGGGTGGGTGTGTGTGGGGGGAAGGGGGGTGAGGGGGGCGTTGAGTCGACTCAAAAGACATTGCACATCAGAAGAGGTGGCCGTTGTATCTCAGCACCAAGAACACCATTCTCAAGACCTACGATGGCAGGTGGGTGGCTCTGTGTGCGTGTGGAGGAGAGGAGAAGTGGGGAGGGAGGGCTTTTGTGTCAACTCAAGATTCACCTCGTACCAGAAGCGGTGACCGCTGTACCTCAGCACTAAAAACACCATCTTGAAGACCTACGATGGCAGGTGGTGGGTGATTGCTGCGTGCTTTTGAGGCCCATGAAAAACGTTGTATCCTTTGAGGCGACTCAAAAGAGGTGGCCGCTGAATGTGAGAATCAAGAACACTCTCCCGCGTGCACGCGTGCAGGTTCAAGGACATATTCCAGCGTGTGTACAAGGGCAAGTGGAGGTAGAGGTTTGAGGCGGCGTGGGTGTGGTATGAGCACCGGCTGATCGACGACATGGTGCCCTTCTGCCTCGTCAAGAGCCCGGCGGGCCCTCGTGTGCTGGCGGGCCACATGCATCCCTTCATTCTCCCTCCCTTCTTTTTTTTTGGTCGACTCAAAAAATAGAGTCTACTAAAAAACAGGCCACATGCATCCCTTTATGCTCCCTCCCTCCACGCAGTTTCAAGGACATGTTTCAAGATGTTTACGAAAGCAAGTGGAGGGAGAGGTTTGAGGCAGCGGGGGTGTGGTATGAGCCCGGGTGCATTCTTTGTTCCCAAGCCATATGTGCTTCTTGGTGCTGCTGACTTTTGAGTCGACTCAAAAGCGCTGCTATCTTGTTCCGCTCCCTGCATCCCTGCATGCGCCCCTCCATGCATGCAGGTTCAAAGATATTTTTCAAAATGTGTATGAGAGCGAGTGGAGGCAGCGGTTTGAAGCTGCAGGGGTGTGGTATGAGCACCGGCTGATTGACGATATGGTGGCCTTCTGTCTCAAGAGCCCGGGGGCGTTCGTATGGGCGTGCAAGAACTACGATGGGGACGTGCAGAGTGATATGCTGGCTCAGGGTATGTGGGGTTGGGAGAGCAGGGAGGGAGGATAGGATAGAGCTGTGTGGCATTGGGTGTGTATTCGTGTGGGCGTGCAAGAACTATGATGGGGATGTGCAGAGTGATATGCTGGCTCAGGGTATGTGGGGTTGGGAGAGCAGGGAGGGAGGATAGGATAGAGCTGTGTGGCATTGGGTGTTTATTCGTGTGGGCGTGCAAGAACTATGATGGGGATGTGCAGAGCGACATGCTGGCTCAGGGTATGTGGGGTTGGGAGAGCAGGGAGGGAGGATAGGATAGAGCTGTGTGGCATTGGGTGTGTATTCGTGTGGGCGTGCAAGAACTATGATGGGGATGTGCAGAGCGACATGCTGGCTCAGGGTATGTGGGGAGGGAGAGCAGGGAGGGAGGATATGGCTATGTGCCATCGGGTGGGTGTTCGTGTGGGCGTGCAAGAACTATGATGGGGATGTGCAGAGCGACATGCTGCCACAAGGTGGGATGGTGGATGCATGGGAGAGGCATGGGAGCTCCCATGCATGTCGTGCACGGGAGGCACGGCATGGGAAAGGCCGGGTGAGGAATGAAGGGGTGGGTGGCTGCATAGGGCCACGCACTTACAGGGCGTGTAAGACTGTGGTGGTGACGGGCAGATCGACATGCTGGCACAGGGTGGGTTGTGCAGAGAGACGGGGAGTGGGGTGGGAGTGCGGAGTGGGGTAGGAGTATGTGCGGTGGGAGTGGAGTTCTGTAGAAGTACCTGTGGTGAGGAGAGTGCGGAGCAATGTGGGATGTGAGGAACATCACACGTCCGCAGTCAGTGTGATGTGAGCCTGTGAGGTAATGAGGTCAATCTCGTTTCTGTCATTACGTGTCTTGTGAGCCATGTTCTTGCCTTCATCGTTGCATCTTTCCAGTACAACCTTCTGTTCTATCAAGGATTACTGTTTTTTTTGGCATACACATGGTGGTTTGTTTCCGTTTCCTCTTGCAGGGTTTGGCTCCCTTGGGCTCATGACGAGCATTCTGGTGAGTGCCTCCTTGTGTGTACCCTTGGTAGCCTGTCCAGTCCTCATGTGTGCAGAGATCGTTTTGAGGGAGGTAGGAGCAAAGAGATGGACGGTAGTAAATCGTGCATTCGCATCATCCACGCATCACTCTACCACGTGCATCAGAGGGGAGTTATGCAGGGTGATTCAACCAGAAATGTCACATTCCTTTTGAATCAAATTCCCGTTTCCAAGGTGTGTCCAGATGGGAAGACAGTAGAAGCGGAGGCAGCACACGGCACAGTGACGCGGCACTACCGTGTGCATCAGAGGGGCGGGGAGACCAGCACCAACAGCATCGCCTCCATCTTTGCCTGGTCCAAGGGGCTTGCTCACCGGTGCGTGGGGTTGGGCCGCGGTCTGCAGGATGACAGTTGGGTTTCAAGATGGGCGATAGAAAGCTTGGCGCACTGAACCACCAGAGGGGCGGGGAGACGAGCACCAACAGCATCGCCTCCATCGTTGCCTGGTCCAAGGGGCTCGCCCATGTGCGCCTGGTCTAACGGACTTGCCCTCTGCTTGGTGGGGGCAGGTGGTTTGGTAGCAGGTGGGTTGTGGGGGGTAAGGGAGGAGCAACCACTCTGTTGTGTTTGGGGGTGACACTGAGCAGTGTGGGTACCCAAAGTAATCACTCTCTGTTCTCCTCTTCACCCCCCCCTCACCCCGCCATTCCCTGCTTCTCCAGCGCCTCTTTAGACGGCAACAGCAGGCTCGCAGCGTTCTGCAACCACCTGGAGGCAGCGTGTGTTGAAACAATTCCCACTCCCTGCCCCATTCTTCCCTGCATCTTGCCCTCCCCTCTCCCCTTTCCCCCCTTCCCCATGCCCCCCCTCTTCCAGCGCCTCTTTAGACGGCAACAGCAGGCTCGCAGCGTTCTGCAACCACCTGGAGGCAGCGTGCACTGAAACGGTGGAGAGCGGTGGAATGACCCGCGACCTGGCCCTGCTGATACATGGAAGCAAGTGCGTTGAGTTGTCCCTCCACAGGTTTCTCCCCTAGCACTTATTAGGCATTGCACCTTTCCATGGTAGACCCATGTTCCCATCACGACGGAATCTCTCACGACGGGCGGGTATTTGCCCACTCCCTCCGCTTCTCCACCGTCCACTGGTTTTCATTTGCTTTCCCTCCTTCCCCTCCGCCCCTCATCTGTCTCCCCTCCTCTATCCCCACCCTCATTTTCCTTCACTCCCGCCTTGCAATGCAGGGTGTCGCGTGCAGACTATCTCAACACAGAGGAGTTTATAGACGCAGTTGCTGCCTGCCTTAGACAACGCCTGCTGAGTGGAGGGGAGGGTTGTGATAGGCGTAGTAGGATGTAGGTTAGCTGTAGCATAATTGCATATGAGAATAGTGCAAAGCATTATGCAGGTGGCCATCTACTTTCGTTTGATGTACAGTGCAAGAAAAGGGCTTGCATGGTCGTTCTATAAGTTTCCAATCATTGTTGATAATCGCCGACCAAAACAGTGTTCAATTCTCACACTACCCAAGTAAAATTACACTGTGAATTTAGTATAGTAAGAACACACGGATGTATAGGACTTTCTTGTAAGTCGTACTTCAGAGATACCTCACAGGCTCGCATCGCATCCCCTCACTGACCTCACACACGCTCAACCAGTCGCGTCATTCATCCTTTTCAATACCCTGCCCAAGTTCCCTAATGCTAGAGCCGAGCCGCTTAGGCGATGCAGCAGATATGTGCGATGATCCAGTGGGAAGAGTGAAATGGACGGGAGGGATGGATTTGACGGGCCATCTTGCCTTTCTGCGTGCTACAAGCCACCCACTTTCGAATCAGCACAGCCAATCACGGATTAGCAGCTCGATGACGTCGCCCCCTCGCTCCGAAGAGCCACCATAAGCATCCGTCGCTATTCCGAGTCCGGGCGTCTCTCCCACCGCTGCTGCGTCAGCTCCACGCTAGCACAGATTCGGAACGCCCTTTCGGCGAACTTTGAAGGCATCGTCGCCCGTGTCAGCGACACAGCCGCTTGGATCCAGGACGCAACGGCGACTCGGTCCCGAGACGCCCTTTCGGCGATCCTTGAAGCTGTCGTCATCCGTGTCTGCGATACAGCCTCATGGGATTGCGAAGGCGACTTGGTCGCAGCGCCTCAGAATCTTATCCAGAATCCGGGATCGCGAAATGTTCCTCGCTCTATTTCGCGTCCAAGCGTTGGGTTGGGCTGGTTCGTTCTCAGCGCAAACGAAATTCTTTTCACTCGCGCATGCGGAGTGACGCGTCGAGCATCCTGGTAATATAAAAGGCGCTAATAACATTGATATCATTCATCCACTACTAGTGCCGCTGCTTACAGCCTGAAGCTCATTCCCGCATCAAGCAGAGCATCTCAAGTGCTCCTGCTTCTGCTCCCACACACGTGGACCGTGTAAACTCATCCTCATCCTCGCGCGCTGTCTCTCCCCTCGCGGCGAAATGGCTCTTGTGCGTCACTCCCTGACTCTCACCGCGGCGGTTGTCCTCGCGGCTGCCGCGCTCCTCGCCGCTCTTCCCGCCGCGAGCGCCGCTGGGGTGGATTACAGCAAGAGCGGGCTCGACTGGGAGGTGCGTGAGTCGCCGCCTAGGGACGCGTGAGTAGGGGGAGGGGAGTGAGAGGGAAGGATTCACTCGTATAGCAGTCATGACTCGGAGGTGTTAGAGATGGATTTCACTTTTGAGGCGACTCTAAACTTGACTCGTATAGCACTCACGACTCGGAGGTGTTGAGATGGATTGCCATCGTGGCTGTCCATTGCCTCTTCTCCAAAGGCACTCGCACCCTCTCTCTCTCCCAATGGCTTTCCAGGGAGTGTGCGAGTCGGGCGAGCGGCAGTCGCCAATCAACATCGTTATGGACGAGGCAACGACAGTGGACGCACCAGAGAAGTTTGCTCTCGAATATGACTCTGCGCCCACCACTGCCACCGTCGTCAACAAGGGCTACACCGTCCGTGAGTGCACCAACCCTCGCTTCTTCTCATGCATCGCTTCTCCCCTCCCCACTCTTGGCTTTGCCTCGCTTCTTCTGTTTTGCCTCGCTTCTTCTGTTTTGCCTCGCTTCTCTTCTGTTTTGCCTCGCTTCTTCTGTTTTGCCTCGCTTCTCTTCTGTTTTGCCTCGCTTCTCTTCTGTTTTGCCTCGCTTCTCTTCTGTTTTGCCTCGCTTCTCTTCTGTTTTGCCTCGCTTCTCTTCTGTTTTGCCTCGCTTCTCTTCTGTTTTGCCTCGCTTCTCTTCTGTTTTGCCTCGCTTCTCTTCTGTTTTGCCTCGCTTCTCTTCTGTTTTGCCTCGCTTCTCTTCTGTTTTGCCTACTTCAACATACCTGTTCCATTTTTAAGACGTCTCAAAAATTTGCCTCGCTTCTTCTGTTTTGCCTACTTCAACATACCTGTTCCATCCCCTACTTTTCATCCCTCTTCCACACATCCCTCCCTGTCCCCTTCGCATCCCCTCCTTTCCCTCCCCCAGAGGTGCTTCCCAACCCCACCCACACCGACAGGCGGCACATCACCAGTGGAACCTACAGCCTGAAGCAGGTGCACGTGCACGCCTTCTCAGGGCATGGCATCAACGGACCTTTTCCCCTCCTCGTTTTCTGCCTCCCCCAGAGGTGCTTCCCAACCCCGCCCGCCCACACCTACAGGCGGCACATTGCTAGCGGAACCTACGAGTTGAAGTAGGTGCACGTGCACGCCTTCTCAGAGCATGCCATCAACGGGCTCTCTTACCTCTTTCTACCCCACCTCACCTCCCTTCAACTGCCCTCCCCCTTCTCCTGCCCGGTTCCCCCCATCAGAGGTGGTTCCGAATCCGTCCAACACATACAAGCTGCACATAGCAAGCGCCACATACATCCTGAAGCAGGTGCACGTGCACGCCTTCTCAGAGCATGCCATCAACGGGCTCTTCGCACCCATGGAGGCCCACTTCGTGCATGCCCATGTCGACGACCCATCAAGGCTCGCCGTTGTGGGCGTTATGCTCCGTCTGCAGCGCGACGACCATGCCAGTGATTGGGTTGACTCGTGAGTGGCTCTATATCATGCGTCTCCTGATTCTTTTCGTTTTCTTCCATTGTCTCGGTCTTCTCCGAGACTTGGGGTTTCTTGCTCTTTTACTATGCTTGGCCCTCCATGGGAGTCTTGAAATACGCTATTCTTGTTTTTCACTATACATCGTCCTTTTCCATCACCACCTGTATCCTACACAGCTGGTTGGGCAAGACCCTCTCGGAGGTGAACGGGACAGCCACCATTGACGTTCCCAAGAACTTCTGGAGGGAGATGGTGGATGTGTCCATGGGGTTCTGGCGCTACCCCGGCTCGCTCACCACGCCGGGCTGCGATGAGATTGTTGAGTGGCACGTGCTGCGCAAGGCCCAGTTCCTCTCCGTTGCTCAGGTGAGATGTGCTAGGATTTCGGAAATAAATTTCGTTACATGGTAAGAATGGTGTTCCATGTTTCATCGCTCTCGTCCCAATCCTCACTACCCACTGTGTCCCCACATGCTGTTCACTTCTCAACAGGCTGCGACGTTCATGAATCTGATGGCCAGCATGAACAAGGAGCGCACCAACAACCGCATGCCCGAGCCACTCAATGGCAGGAAAGTCACTTACTTCACTAAAGTCGCAGCCTGATTACGGCCAAGCATCGTCCTGGTTGATGGGCATGGTTATAAAGATGGGACATGGTCAGGTCCTGGAACCGATGTATGATTTTCTATTGCAATGGATTAACATGTTCAGTTCCGTAATATGCAATTCCTTAAGCAGAAACATGGTTTCTATGTACCAGCATATTCTTGTTTCCTTTCGTACAAAAACACTGGCTTTGATACAGTTATATACAGAATATGGACTATCGTTTCATATTTTACATAGCATCTGTTATGAGTTGTAAAAGAGAGTGCGCAGGTAAACGAATAACGAGGCTGTCACTGAATCAACTGCGAATACAATGAATGCACAGACTAATGTAGGGCTAGCCTAGCTAGGAGGAAACCTCGGACAAGCGAGGTTGGGTGCAGGTTGGGCGATGGAAATGCCGAAGGCGACGCGAGGAGCCTCGGCAGCGTTGAAATCGGCCGAACGTGCGAACTCCGAAAATCGGGTTGTACGCGAAGCAGTCAACCCCGATAAGGAATTCAGGAAAATTCCTTACACCACCCCCCCCCCTTAAGAAAGGCGGTCAATATCCGAAACACGCCGGCGCGCCAGGTAATCCCCAACAAGTGGCGAGGCGTCGAGCGAGGCGGATGGCACCCACGTGTCGTCCTCACTGGTGCGGTCAGTCCAGCGGATTAGAAAATCCATGTGTCGTCCAGCTGCGTCAATGCGGACCCTATGTGCCAAAATCTTCGATGGGTCGAGAGTCGGCTCCGGCACAGGTCGTGCTGTCGGGGCAGCTTGCTGACGTGCGATATCGGTCGTGGCTGGCACGAACTTGCGAAGAAGGCTGACGTGGAAGGCGTCGTGAATGCGCCAGTCGTCCGGTAGTAACAGCTTCGCGGTGACAGGTGTCACCATCTTGAGAATCTTGAAAGGTCCACAAAATCGTGGCCATAGTTTCGACGGGCCGGGCAGGTGCAGGTTCTTCGTGTCAAGTAGCACTAGTTGCCCAGTGATCAAGACGAGTTCCCGGCGTAGAAGGTCGGTGTATTTTCGGGAAGTAGTATTCGCCTTGCGGATTGCGTCGGCGGCTTTTTCTCGGACTTCCTGAAGTTCCGTCACGAAAGTCTGTGACCTCGGGACCGGGTTGTCGAGAGTGGTTGCCGTAGGAACTGTCGGGTCCATCCCGTAATTTAGAAAAAAAACGGGGAGTGATTAGTCGTGCTGGACGGTGCGTTGTTGAAAGCGAACTCCAACATTGCGAGGGAGTCTTCCCAGCGGGCAGGGTCGGGGCAGTTTGTCCTGATCAGCTGCTCCATGGTCTGATTGGTCCGCTCGGTTTGACCGTCCGTCTGTGGGTGATATGCCGATGAGAACTGTAGCTTCGTGCCGTACTGCGCCCACGTCTCCTTCCAGAACTTTGATGTGAACTTCGGGTCTCGGTCGCTGATGATCGCCGAAGGGATGCCGTGCACTCGCACGACCGTTGAGATGAAGAGGCGCGCAGTTTCTTCGGCTGTGATTGTCGTTCGGCATGGTGCGAAGTGCGCCATTTTCGTGAAGCGATCGACGACGACGAGAACGGCGTCGTTGCCGGACGGCCCAGCTGGCATCCCCGTGACGAAATCCATCGTCACTTGCTGCCACGGTCGTTCGGATGGCTCAAGGGGTTGCAGCAGTCCAGCTGGCCGCTGACGTGTCGATTTCATTGCTTGGCACACCCTGCATGAGGACACATAGCGCTGCACGTCGTTAAGGGAATCAGGCCAATAGTATTGACGGTGCAGTAGTTTCTGGGTTTTATCAACCCCGAAGTGTCCGGAGAAGTTCGAATCGTGGACCTCTTGGATAAGGAGTTCACGCAGCAGCCTGTAAGCGGGGACCCAAATCCGGTCGGTTCCGACCTTTAGATAATAGTCCCCTTTCTGCGTCGTAGCCTGCCGATGATTTCCCGTCGTGAAGAATGGGTCCGTAGTGTAGCCGTGGGTAAATAGTCCGGTAAGTAACGGGTTTGAGTGGGTGATGAGTACTGCAGCGGATTGTACTGTCGGTCGGGTCAGGGCGTCTGCGATGTTATTCGCCCCCTTTTTGTACGTGATGCGGTAGGTGAAGTGGCTCTCCATGTAGTCCAGCCACCGAATCTGTCGTGGGTTGAGATTGGGTTGGGCTCGCAGGTACTGGAGGGACTTGTGGTCCATGCGAACAGTAACGTTGGCGCCCACCAGGTAGCATCGCCATAATTTAAACGTGTGTATGATGGCGAGCATCTCCTTGTCGTGGATCGGGTAGTTGCGTTCAGCCGCCTGCAGCTTGCGTGATTCGTAGGCTATCGGCTGCAACCCGTTCCCGAAATCTTGGAGTAGCACAGCTCCGATGGCGAAATCGGAGGCGTCGGTGACGACTTCGAACGGCTTCGATGGGTCGGCGATGCGCAGCACAGGAGGGGAAACTAGAAAGTTCTTGAGTTCCTGGAAAGCCGCTTCTGCCTCCTCCCCCCACACAAAATTCCTGTCCTTGTGCAGCAGGTCGGTCAGCGGGCCGGTTATCCCCGCCATATTCGGGATAAACCGCCTGACGTAATTCACGAATCCGAGAAAACTCTGGAGTTCCGTGACATTCGTCGGGGACTTCCACTCCTGTATGGTCTTGATTTTCGCCGGGTCGATTTTAATGCCGTCGCGTGAGATGACGTGCCCCAAAAACTCCAACTCCTGCTTAAAAAACTCGCACTTAGAGCCCTTGGTGATGAGTCGGTTCTCCTGCAGCCGCTTAAACACTGCATCCAGGTCACGGAGGTGCTGCTCTCGTGTCTTGCTAAAAATGAGGATATCGTCCAAATAGACGATGACGCATCGGTCTAGAAGATCCCGAAAAACCCTGTTCATGGTCAGTTGGAATGTTGAAGGCGCGTTCGTGAGGCCGAAAGGCATCACCGTGAATTCGTAACTCCCGTAGCGTGTGCGAAACGCGGTCTTGTGACAATCGTCGGCGAAGACCCGAATCTGGTGGTAACCGCCACGTAAGTCGATTTTCGAGAAGTAACGAGCTCCGCGAAGCTGGTCAAGAAGGTCGTCGGTGCGTGGGATTGGGTAGCGAGACTTGATGGTCACCCGGTTCAACGCACGATAATCGATGCACATGCGAAGCCCACCGTCCTTCTTCGGAGTAAACAGGATCGGTGCCGCGAGCGGGGAGGTGCTCGCCAGAATGAACCCTTTCTCCAACAGTGCGTCAATTTGTCGGCGCAGCTCCTCGAGTTCCGGCTGGGTCAACCGCCACTGTGTTCGAACCGTCGGTTGCGCGCCAGGCTCCAGCTGGATTTTATGGTCTTCTGGTCTCTCGGGTGGCAGCCCAGGTGGCAGGTCTGAGAAGAAACGAGGAATGAAATGACTAAAGGAAAGTTGGGTACAAATGCAAACCCTAGGAAAACTGTACCCCATATGTGCTACCCCACTATAGCCTACAGTAGCAATGTCATATAAATCTGACACACCCCCATAGGCAAAGTGGGGGAGAACAAGGGGTCACAAGACCAGTCAAGCAAAGCAAAGCAAGCTCAGGGTGGATCACAAAGTCACCACACATTCCGAGCACAAGTTCAAGGCCACAAGGCCAGTTCACATGCAGGATTACATATATATATAAGGCTAGACAAGCAAGAGCAGGTGTATATATATATGCAACAGTACAAACAAGGTCAAGGGGTGAGCAAGTGAGGCAAGGCAGGCACAAGACCCAGCTGAGTACAGAAGCGCTGATGATCACAAGGCGCAAGTGCCTTGGTGAAGATATCAGCAGTGTTGGCCTGAGAGGCCACGTACGCAAGCAGCAGCTGACCACGCTGCTGTAGCTCACGAGCAAGGAAGTAGCGGAGAGCAATGTGCTTCGTTCTGTGCTCCAGTCTCTGCTCTCGACACAAGGCCAGCATGGCCTTGTTGTCTACGTACAGCACTGGAGGAGAACGAGGCGGCTCTCCGAGGTCAGTCAGCAGGTAGGTGAGCCAGCGAAGCTCCTGTGCAGCCATGGCCTCGGCGTAGATCTCAGCCTCACAACTGGAGCCGAGAACAGAAGTCGAGCGGGTAGCCCGCCACGAAACAGAGCCGGAACCAAGGCTGAATGTGTAACCCTGTGACGACCGCTGCGTAGCCTGGTCGTCAGCCCAAGAAGCGTCTGCGTGCCCAGTGAGGACCACTGGACTCTGCCCTCCAAGCACAAGCCCCATGCCCGACGTACTGCACAAGTAACGCAACACCCTCTTCGCTGCAGCCATGTGCTCCGGTCTGTGTCTCCCAGGAGCAACATAGCGTGCGAGAATGCTAAGAGGGTATGCGAGGTCAGGTCGTGTGCAGGTCATCAGGTACATGAGGCAGCCAACAAGCTCTGGGTACGGGCCACTCGACTCTACGGACTCATCCGAAGGCAGAGCTGAGAGCGAGTGGCGAGTAGGCAGAGGAGTGGCCTGAGGCGAGGAGTACGTGAAGCCGAAGCGCTGAAGGACCTGCTGCACCATGTGTGACTGAGTCAGGGTAATGGTGCGGCGTGCTCTGTCCCGGGTGATCTGCAAGCCAAGGTAGCTGCGCAGTTCACCCAGGTCTGTGCACGTGTGTCTCTTCTGCAGCTCGGACTTCACGTGGGCGAGTCCAGCAGTGTCAGCTGTGGCAAAGACCAAGTCGTCGACGTACACGAGGATGTAGAACGGCGGCAAAGAAGTGTCGGTGCGCAGAAACAGCGACGGGTCGGCAGTAGAGGGAGCAAACTCAAGAGCCGCAAGTGTAGTCCTCAGTGTGTCGTGCCACTCACGCGGTGCCTGGCGGAGACCGTAGACTGGTCGCCGGAGGCTCCACTGGGTGCCAGGAGGAAAAGACCCAGTGAAGCCAGGTGGGCGACGCAGCCAGATCTCCTCGTGCAGGCTGCCCTGCAAGAAAGCAGTGCTGAAGTCAAGAGAGTGCAGCTCGTAGTCGCGGTGAGCAGCTATGTGCAGCAGGGTGGGAGAGAAGGTCTGAAAGTAGTCAACTCCCTGCCGCTGACTG